CAGTAGCATGAGCAGCAGCAGAGGGCCTCGTGAGGGCAATAAAAGGGACCTGACGCGTCGACACACGCGCCGAGCGCACCGTGTGCATCCACTTGGAGCTCTTCTGCGCGTCGTTGCGAAAGAATGCGACGTGTTCGTACAACGCGGGCTGCTTCTCTGCGTCGACGAAAAGCGGGCGCCAGGCAGAGATGCGCTGAAAAGAGGCGTTATCCTCAACAGGCAACAGCCGCTCTGAGCGGCGGAGCTCGGAGAAGATGGAGCTCATCTTTTATGCCTTTCTGCGCGCCTTGTTGTGAGTTTGGGTATGGTTGATTGTGTGTGTGTGTGTGTATGTGCTTTGTCCCCCCTTCGAACAGAACAACAGGGACTACGAAGAAGAAGAGGAGGAGGAAAGAGAATAACCAAGATAGTGACACTCATCACACAGTTAGCACCAATTCAAAACTGCGAGCCATCCCCACCTCTCCCCTTCTCCGCGCAGGGAAGGGGTGATGGTAGGCAACGAACCGGCGGGGCTTGCGAACTCCTATAGGCGTGGACAACGTAACCTCCCCCTTTGTCACTCTAGCGCCTTCCTCACTCTCGCACTCCCACTATGCATCTCTTACTCGCTTCCATGCCGTGCAAAGTGACGCCCCCCACACACACACACTCAAAGCACAGACACAGACACACATATGTATGTATATGTATAGACGCGCAGAGCACAGCGAGAGGCCAAAATAAAATGAGATTCCCCTCCCGTCCTTCCCTTTCCCACATAGCCACACACAATGGCACTTCTCAATTGCTATCACTCTTCCCTATGCATTCCACTATACGAACCCCACACGACAGCTGGCCCCCCGCAGTTGTAATCAAAGAACCAGGCAGTGCGATGGGCGTGAAGACGAGCAAAGGACACACTGCACCATCAGTCCCCTCAATCATTCGGCGCTCGCGTCAACACCAGCGGCCTCCAGCTTCTCCTTGATGTCATTCATAAATGGCATGATACGCTCGCGCTGGATGCGGAGGTTGGCCACCGCCTCCTCGCCCTCCATGACGGTGCCGTCGTCTTCCCAGAGGTCGCAGCAGTCCTCGACGTACTGGCTCTTCGTGCTGTAGCGTTCGAACACGAAGCGGTTGATCGCGAAGGCCTCCAACACCATGATGGCGAGAGTGACCTTCAGAAGCGCCTTCATCGTCTCCCCGCCAATGCCCGTCTCGCCAGGTGATGGGTAGAAGTACGTGCGGGCAGCCGCTGCGCCGGGGCGCATACCTGCGGAAGTGATCACACGCCGAAACATTTTGTTCTTTGACGGGGGCTCACTCGCTTGTTGTTTGGTTGGTTGGGATGCTTGACTATTGTGTTTCTCCCACACCTGGATGTCTTTTTGGACTACTACTCGCGACTTAGCTACTCACCTCGATCACATATATATATATATATATATATATATGAGAGAGAGAAAGAGAGAAAGAGAGCAGACAGGTCGTGGGAGTCACTCCAGCAACCTCAGCAGTAGCAGAAGCACGCCAGGCGAAGCCGTCATGTATGGCGGAGGTATTGACGACACCATGGTGCATGCATTCGGAGATATATTCCACGCCTTCCCAATCGTTTGCGTGTGTATTCATTGTTTCTTAATCGACGTTATCGCTCTCCGGCACCACGTACGCATCGACCACGTCGTCGAGAAGCGGCAGCACGTGCCGCGTGACGAACTCCGCCGTTTCTGCGTGCATCTTATTCCCTGTCACCGCCATCTGCAGATGTTTCTTCGCGTTGAGCCCCTCTAGGGCCATAATGCCCTCCTCCGACTGCATTATCCCTGCCAGAATCTCCGCCAGCAGCAACTCCACCTCAGCTACACTCTCGCTCCCGTCGCTGAGCCGCTCCACACAGACGCTGATGCAACGGCTGCGTAATACTGCCGGGTGTTGTTCTTTTTCGAAGGTGCAGTTGCGATAGCACTNCCGCTCCACACAGACGCTGATGCAACGGCTGCGTAATACTGCCGGGTGTTGTTCTTTTTCGAAGGTGCAGTTGCGATAGCACTGGGCTGCGAGCAGACGGTGCCGCTCGTTGGGGGAGCCGAGGCACTCCGTGAGACTGCGCGCCCAGTCCTCATCCTCCATCAGCAGCACTTGCCCGTCGCTGGAGCGCGTCAGATTGAGCAGAATCTGCAGGATCCACCGCTGCAGGTTTCGCACGGGCGGCCTGGCAGTTCCCGCTGCCGCCGCCAGATCAGGCTGCTGTGCTTCCCTCTCCTCCTCCGCCGCCTCCGCTTCGGCTGCTTCGCTGCAAAAGTCGGCGGCGAAGCGCGTGTAGTACACCTGCAGCTTGCCGAGGTAGAAGCCGCGGAGGTCCTCATCCTCCATCTGCAGCAGATCGTCCACCGCCGTGATGTGGCTGGCTGTGAGGTTGCTGAGCAGCATGAGCGTCATCTCCTCCAGGCTCCGCTTCAGCGAGTCCGCATGGTCAGAGTTCTCGATGCCGTCGAGGAGCCGCATCGCCTTGCGCACGACCTTGCGCGTGACGAGCATCTCTGCGCAGCCGCCCTCCGCGGAGCAGTTAATGAGGATTGTCAGGATGTCNCCGAGCAATGGTATCCCGCCGGCGTGGAGGAACTGCAACAGCGCGTCGATAGCGCCGGGCCCGTGCGTTCGCGATGACACGAACGCGAAAAGAGCGGCGTTGTCCTTGCTCTGCTCCGCGATGCCGCGCACCGCCATCTTGCGCACGTTCTCGCGGTCGCTGTGCAGGAAGGCGAACACCTCCGCGAAGCCCTCCTCCTCCGCCATGACGCCCGTTGCCCGTGGTTGTTGGTGATGGTGGTGGCGCAGTGCGTGCACGGCGGCCCCTCGCTTGCAGCTAAGCGCACATGCCCCCAGAGAGAGACAGGGGGGGAGAGAGAGAGAGAGAGAGA